AAGAAAATGGACATGAAGAGGTTAAAGCAAAACATGTGGGACATCTTACTTGATACAGGAAAAAAACAACCGCTGGCAGAGGTGAGTGCAGGCAGAGCCACATACTTTAACAGGACCAAGGATCAGAGAATGTACTGCAGGTAACAGTGCTTAGCTCTGTTCTTGGGCAAGTTTAGTGGCAATTCCTTTCTAGTAGTCTTGCTCCCATGGGGTGTTTGTTAAGGATGGACTGTGAGCAGTGACTTGCAGTGGTTGTTCTCTGAGCATGAGGCTGCATTCTGGGGAACAAAATCTGTCTCAGCAGTGTCTGTCTTTTTGCTGAATAGATTGAAGATATGGAGAAAGACCCATCAGTGGTAACAGGCGAGAAGGCCTTCAGCGACATCACAAAGGAACTGCTTCACAGGTAGAGAAGCCCTAACAAAGGTTGGACTGAAGATGAGGCAGTTTTCAGCTGAGCTTGGGCAAACCCTGACCCGTGTGTTTGTTACAATCTGCTGACTGAACCCTGATGGGGGAAAATCTTCTCTCGCTCTCTGGGTTTCCCTGAGGAAGCTATAGGTTGTATTTTGCTAGTGGGAGGGAAAAGGTAGAGAAAACCAGAGACGTGGGAGGAAGCTGTCACACGTGCAGTTAATCTTTGATGACCTGATGGTTTGCAGACGTGCTTTTATCTGTATGGTCTCAGTAGGCTGGCTATCCTGATGTCCTCTCTTCTCTTCCCATAGGCTGCCTTCTATACTGGTGAAAAATCTGTCTGTCCCTTTAGCCTTCACCTGCCTCTTGCATTTGGCAAATGAGAAGGTAAGTAAAACACGTGCAGAGGAGATGTGGTAGGAGCATTGGGTGAAACAGTAAAAAGCACCAAGAGCTGGGCCATTTTATATTTACATCAGGACCTTAAAACTTAAGCCTGTTTCATGTTTATAGGGAGCATAAATCAGGTTGATATGCTGGGAATGAGAAGCCCATTGTTTAGTGCTCTCAGCATTTCCAGCCTAACTTCTGTCTGTCCTTTTTTGTCCTTGGGTCTGGCAGCAGAGGGGGATGAGTGCATTCTTGCTATAAGTGTTGGGGGTGTTTCAGACTGGTAGAACGGCTAATGGGAGGCCTTGGTCTTGTGCACCAACAGCGGAGACAGAAGGGGCTATGGTTGTTCTGAACCTTCCTCGTGTTTTTATTCAGCTGCTTTGGAGCAGTCATCAGGCTGAACCTTCAGACTCGAAGGGAAGAGCCTGGTTTTATTGAACTTAACTTTTTCGTTTTCACAGAATCTCATATTGGAGGGTACAGAGGACTTGTCTGATGTCCTGGTGAAACAAGGTAACTGAACCTTGTGCAGAGGGGAGCATCGAGGCTTACCCACAGGACAGAGTTCTGCTCTTCAGCTGGCCTGTTCTTGCTATGGACTGTCTCATCAGCGGCAGATTTTTTTCCTCCCAGACTTCTTGTTGAGAAATCCCACCTCAGAAAGACTTAAATCATGGACATGGTCCTACCTAAACACAGAGCCCGTATGGATGGACAGTTACAGTTCAGCCTGACATCTTTGATCCATTACCTCTTTCCTGGGCCTTGATAGCAGAGTTCTGCAATCTCACTGTGAACCACCAGTACCTGTTAGCAAAGGCTACTTTGTGTGTCACTCACTGTCTGCTTATAATTCACAGCACACTGACTGGTATTCATGTCTCCAATTCTTCCTTAAGTCCTGTTCCTTTGCCTGGTCTTTCCCTGAAGTGATTTATCTTTTATACTGAGCTTAATAATAATAAATTCCTACAGACTTCTTTGGACCTTTGAGAGGGGGCAGGAGGGGTCTCTGAAGCAAGAGAAAAACTAATTAACACACAAGTGTTAGGGAGCAGCAAGAGGCTTCCTAAGGGGAGAGGATCACTGGAGTGTCACCAGCCAGAACTGAGTCAAGCAGTACCTCAATGAGGTAAACATAAGACCTGGAGATGATGGCCAGGTTCAACCAGGAGCTGAGTTCACTAGGCAAGCTCATGGTGTTGAAGCAGGTCTGAGGCCAAGCTAAGAAGTCTGGTCAGGATTGGGTCTAGGTCTGAGGTGATGAGGCAGGGAGACCAGCACTCCTGATGCAGCTCAGGCAGAGAGTGAAGGCTGAGCTTAAATAGGTCTCCTGGGCATAGGTGGAGGCCCTGGGTGAGGCTCCTCAGGGGCCACTGAGGCTTATGAATACCCTCAGGGCCCTGCTAACAGTGTGGGTGTGTCAGGTAATGGAACCTAGACCTGTTTTCATGGCTTTGGAGGGGGCACTGAGGGACAGAGCTGGCCCTACGCAGGCAATTCTGCCCCCAGGGGCTGAGGCTATGCAGGCACCCAGAGCCAATACTGAGGGACATGTTGGGTGGCACAGGAATTGCTTGTGGGTACGAGGGAAGGTACTTGGGACTCAGGAGTAGGGTTTTGCGGGTGGTAGGCTTTTAAGGGGGTTAGGGGGTCAGGGTTAAGGCTATGGCATGGTTGCTATTGTTAGGGCTCTTAGGGTTGGGGCCATTTTCATGGTCAGGGTTAGAGGTGAGGATTAGGATTACAGGGGTTGCAGAGTTAGGGTTAGAAGGCTAGTATTAGGCTTAGGTGTTCGCTTTATGATTTTCGTTAGGGTTACACAATCAGGTTTAGGGTTTAGAGTTAAGAGTTAGAGATAGGGTTAGGTTTAATGTTTAGGGTTAATAGCTAGGCTAACAGTTTTGGTTAGGGTTAGTAGTTTTGGTTAATCATAGAATCACTTGAGTTGGAAGAGACCTTAAAAAAAAAAATCATCTAACTCCAACCCCCCTCCCATAGGCAAGGATGCCATTCACTAGATCAGGTTAACCGAGGCCCCATCTAGCCTGGCCTTGTGCATCTTCAGGGATGGGGCAGCCACAACTTTTCTTGGCTAACTGTTACAGTGCCTCACTACCCGTACAGTGAATTTCCTCCTAATAACACAGCTGCAGGGATTGCAGGGATTCCTAAAGTCATAGCCAAATCCAAGAAAGAGAGGAGGACGTGATGCTTTTGATAGAAAGGAGCTGGGTTTGGGGGCAAAATCCGTCCCTTTTTCTATCCCGGAGACACCCAAGGGCGTAGGACAGCAGCATTGCAGTGCAGCAAGAGATGCTGTGCATTTCTCTCGTCACCCTGAGACAGCCACTGGGTGACGATGGTGCCAAGCGTCTTGAAAGAGACCTTGCTTTCTCAGGCCCAGGTGTCCAGCTGCATGCCAAGGCAATCCCTGGCTCCCAGGCGCAGTTGCCAGGCCCAAGGCCGAGCTCCCCTGCGAACCCCCAGCCCAGCAGACCTTGCTCCTGGCGTTGTGGAGCAGCCATTTCACGGGAGCCTTTTCTCCTGGCAGTCAGCTTAGCGCCGTAAGCTCTGCCAGCGGGACGCCTGAGAGCCGTGGGAGCTCAGCAGAGAGTCCCTGTCAGCCTTGGAGCTCACAAAGGTGGGTGGCCACAAGTGCCCTGAGCGTCCAGCTCGCATTGAGGACTGCTGCTGGCACTCGAGGCGTGGAGGTCGGCATGGTGCAATGGGAGACGCCACTGTCCTGCTGGTGGGACAAGAGACACTGATGTGCTGCTGCTGCAGGAGGAGACTTGAAGGTGCTGCTGCTTCGAGGTGCTGAGGAGCGGGCAGCCTCCATGCCGGTGGCTGAGCTGAGCATGCTCCTGTTCATTAGCGCTCTCCCCTTCCTCTCTTTTTCTGGAGGTGGAGAGAGAGAAACGCACAGATCTCTTTCTTTCCCGGTAGGAAATGGAAGAGCCTTGAATCTACATATTGGCCAGATTCTGCCTGGCGCCCTTGGGACTGGGGATCTGTGTTGATCTGTAAGAAAGAGCAATCGTCAGCACAGCAAATCCCCGTGACCTTGTGTCTATCAGCATCGTCCCAATCCCTCTCTAGAGCTGTGGGCTGGCCAAGCTGTGTGTTGGATGGTGAAAGTGGGAAATGGGAATGGGTTGGGAAAGGATGAGTGCGCCGAGAAATCCTTGCTGGGCTGGGAAGACTTCCTTGGGGTGGAAAGGCATTGGGCTCGGCAATGAAAGAGATGGGAAATGTGCCTGGGGTTTGAAAGCATTGGGAAGCAAAAGCCTTGGGATGGGCAATGGCTGCTGGGATGGGAAAGCCTTGGGATGGGAAGTCTTGAATGGGGTGGGTACCATTCCCTGGGGAAGGAAATACTTGGAAAAGTCCTCCAAGAGAGGGGAATTCTTTGGGACGAGATCTCTTTGGATGAAGGGAAAAATCTGCTTGTGTTGATGGGAAATCTTTTGTATGGGAATCTGTTATCTTGTGAGCTTGTCAGGATGGGAAATGACCATGAGGATGAAAGCTGGTCCTGGGCTGGGAAATGCTCAGGACGGGCAAGAGGCGGTGTGGAAGCGTGGTGGGCATGGCAAGTGCTGCGTGGGAGGGCAAGCCTGCTGGGGATGGCCAAGTCTTGCGCTGGGCAGCCTGCTTGGCTCCAAAGCCTGCAGTCCTCCCCAAGATGTCGGCGAGGGGCTGGTCAGCCGTTGGGACGGAACGGCCGTTGCGCGGGTTCCCCAAGCAACCGCCCCACTCTCCAGCCACCATGGCAGGTCCAGCAGCCGGCTCCCGCTCCTCCCGGGGCTGCGGCCCTGCTGGCGAGCCCAGCGCCCCAGAGCTCAGCCCAGCGCCCTTTTTCCCACAGAGGGTTTCCCCAGACGGCTTCTGCGGGTTGCGCAGACGCAAAACTCCCCCTTCGTTGTCCCAGCCGTGCCGCCAACGGTGGCTGCCTGGCTGCTGCCCTCCCTCCCCGGAGCGACGGCGCTGCTCTTGCAGCCCCTGCAGGTACCCACCCTCCCCTCCGCGCTGCCCCAGGCCACCGTCTGGCACATGGTGCCGGGGGTCCAGGGGCAGGTGCTGCAGCTCCCCGCCGGGGTGCAGCTGCCACCTGGGGGGCACCTCCCAGCCCAGGGGCACCACCTGCAGCTTGGGCAGCTCCCTGCTGTGGGGCAGCTTCCCGCTGTGGGGCAAAACCTGCAGCTGGTGCAGCTCCCAACCATGGGGCACCAGCTGCAGCTGGTGCAGCTCCCCGCCGTGGGGCAGCTCCCCCACACCGCTCCTCCCTGTGCCCCCGTCCATCAGTGGGGACAGCCCATGGTGACGGGGACACTGGTGCCCCACCATGCGCTGGGGCTGGGGCCCAGGGCCGTGCTCCATGGGGAGCTCCTGCACCCCGCAGGCACCTGCCTGTTGCAGGCCCCCGCCCAGCGCAACCCCCCGCCACCCCTCGTCCCGGGGCCTCCGCTGCGGGGGCAGGCGCTCCCCACGCCCCGCACCCTGAGCAGCAGCCGGGGGCAGCTGCCGGAGCCCTGCTTGCACGCCGTGGGGCTCAGCGAGGACCAGGGGCCCCCGCTGCCCGGCCCCACTCCCCCCGAGCCTGCCCAGGCTCCAAGGACCGCCAGCACCCAGACGGCGACGCCCGACGGTGAGTTTGGGGCTGGCACAGCCGGCCGCTTGTGGCCCCACACCCAGGGGCCACGGGAAAGCTGACATCGCCCGTCTTGGGGGATTTTCTTGCTTGGTCCTCAGCGGCGACAGCCCCGCAGGTGCCTGAGGAGCCCCCGCAGCTGCCCGAGCTGGGCCCCGATGCCTTGGCCGAGGCCTTTCCAGAGCTGGCAGGGGACAGCCAGCAGCTGCAGCACGTGCAGGACGAGCTCCTGGCCCACCTGGACATCCCCATCCCCGACATGGAGGAGCTGCTCAGCTGGCTCGATGCCGTGGAGCCCCAGGACGCCTTCCGCGATTTGCCCAGCAGTCCTGCCCTCAGCCGCTTCCTCTCCCAGCTGCCCGACCTCTGCGAGGACATCGAGGAGCCGAGCACGCAGGGACTGGAAGCCACAGGAGCCCTCGGTGAGGTCCCCTCAAGCCCTGGGGTGCGCCCCGAGAAGCTTGAGGGTGGGCTGTCGCTGCAGTCCCCCGTCGTGCCAGCAGTGAGCCCCCCCCTCAGCCCTGCAGCCAGTCCCCTGCCCAGTGCGCTTAGGAGCCCCCTACCCAGTCCACCCCTGAGTCCCCCCAGGAGCCTCCCTGACACCCAGGTCCTCAGTGCCCTTAGTAGAGCCCTGCCCCAACCCCCCCAGCGTTCCCTCAAGACCCGCCCCAACCCCAAGGTCCCCAGTGCCCTTAGTAGAGCCCAGCCCAAATCCCCCCCGAGTTCCCCCAAGAAACGCCCCAACCCCAAGGGCCGCAGTGACCATAGGAGACCCCTGCCCAAACGCCCCCTGGGTCCCCTCAAGAGCCCCCTGGCTGCCCCTGCGTCCACCGGCACCGAGCGGGGGGCCAAGCGCCCCGCGCCCAGCAGCACCCCCGGGACAGCGCAGAGCTGCCAGCACAGGAGGCCGACGACAGAGAACCCCCCCCGCAAGGAGAGGAAGATGCTGCTGGGCCAGGCTGGCCAAGGCCGCAAGAGACCGTGCCAGGGGAAGACGCGTGGCAGCAGCACGGTGGCTGGCAGCAGCAGGGAAGCAGGCAGCAGCGGGCAGCAGCTGGCGATCAACAGCACCACGGCACCGGTGAAGAGAGCGCGAAGCCCGGGGGCTGCAGGGGGGCAAGGAGCAGCGGCACCAGCTCCCCGCAGAGCGCGGCTGCTGCCGGAGACTCCGAGTGGGGAGCCCCGTGCCGTGCGGCCCCAGGACAGGCTCTGTCCCCAGGCCAGCGGGGCCAAGACGCTGGAGGAGTCGGTGCCCATCACGCCGCAGCAGCGTCCCGAGCGGGAGCGCCTGAAGAAGCTGGCCCAGGAGGAGCGGCAGCGGGCGGCCCACCAGATGAAGATCGGCCCCGTGCAATTCTTCGTGCAGCGGCAGAAGGACCACGCCAGAGCCTACTCTTACGGCTACCCGTGACCGACCTCGGGCTTCTCCTCGACGGCCCCTGCAGCACCCAGGCAGGCACAGAGACCTCTGCAGGCACCTGCTCCAGCTTCAGCCACGCTCCTCAGCCCTTGCCCCTCTCGCTTGCCCTCTCCCCTCTCTCGTGCTGGAGCTAGGGGATGAGCTTGCCACTCTCAGGGATGGGCAACGGGGGCAATGGAAAATGATTGAAACATGAGCCCAAAGCTCACCCTGCAAAGTTGAAAGAGAGACCCAGAGCCATAACTACCCACAAGCACCTCAAAAGAATGAGCCTCCTAGGCCAACGCTGAAATGGAGGTCACAGTTGATGAGCAAAAGGTGCTGGGTAGAGGGCCAGGTGAGATTGGCTGGGGCAATGAAGGCCTGAGGACACTCAGGACCCTGACTCTTGAAACCCAGCAGGTAAATCCCTTTTCAGTGAGAGCTTAATCTGCAACTTTTGTCTTGATGTAATTATACCTGTTCTAATCAATAGCATTTATTTGTAGTGCAAAGTCATATTCCTTGAGAAACATAGCTCTTTTTTGACCTGGTGGTCAACTGTATTGATTGATGTAAGCAGAATCAATCCACACTATGTATAGTATTGCACCAAACATGCATGAGCCTTCAGATGTCAATTAGTTTAATTATTTCCATGAGTTTCTACTTTATATAAACCATTACTGCTATTAACAGTGGTGAAAGATATTGATGTCTAGTGGTAGATAGTATAACTGTCACCAGCCTTGGTGAATATATCTTGCAGGAGTAAGCAGAAACATAAAAAAAACAAACATAATTCTCAAAGAGGTAATGTTTCAATGTAATCTCCAAAGTCTTCCTTCTCACCTTTTTTGTTCTTCTAGAGAATTCTGAACTTAGCCAACTATCTCCATGATTCTTGAGAGTTGACCTTTTCCTGGGGATGGTAAATAAAAGTGGTATCTAATGCTTGGTCGTCCTGGCAGTGTTTGTGGACCACTAAAGAAAACCTTTGGATTTTAGAAAATACAGACAAAAAGACAGAAAGAGACTGATAGAAGAGCAGGTCTGCTACTTTTTAACTGGTGGGAATCTCAACAGAAAGGTTTTGTAGTAAATGTGAGAGGTTAAGGGAACATCCCTATAGAGATAAAAGTCATAGAATGGGAAAAAATAGTTATTATGCATTGATTAGAAGAAAAAAAAAAAAAAAGGCCATTACCTTGTAAATCTCTTCTTTCTGCCTCTCTTCATGAAGACCTGAGTTTGCCAAAATCCTCTTGCTCTGAGCTTTGCTGTATGCAGCAAAATTGCCACTCAGAGGCATTAAACAAGCATATAACATAGGAGGACTCCATAACTTAAGCGTTAAGGCAAGAAGAAAGGTGAAATTATTAAAACTCATTACCTTTTGTAAATTGCTACTTGTCTTTTTGTCATATGCCACTGCTGTAAACCAAAATAATGTAGATTTCAGTGAGGATTACAACTCTGGTGGGGATTGTTGTATATAACTAAGCACATAAAGCTGAGCATGCTTTCCTGCCTTGTTGTCATTTCTAGAGATATCCAGAAGAGGTCAATGTTTCCTAGCTTTTTGGTTACTCACATTAAACATTTTCAAACGTATGTTTTTGTTTAGTAAATGCTGAGCTGCCTGGAAAGTTTCATCAGAAAGGAAGCAGCAGTATTAATGTGCTTCTTCCTGGGGATTTGAATGTATTTTATTAGCAGTATAAGGGGAACCAGGGATCAGAGAGACAATATGCAGGCAAATAACTGCCGACCACATCATCAGGACTCAAATATTTTAAAATCAACGTTATGGGATTTTAGCTAAATTTCGGTTTTAGAATTGACAGTATTAAGCTGAAATTGTTTTCTGCAGACAGTAAAGCAAAGCTATGAGGACACTGGAGTAGCTCCAGGCATACACAGGAGAAGTGCTAGACCACATCTCTGCTGGCTTCTGATTAGCTTTTCAACTTAAAGCTTTTGAGCACAGCTCTCTCTGATCCCTATGAAGGTCACTGGAATTGCAGCAGTGCAGCTGAGCCTCGTGATTTCTGGAGTAAAGGATGTTATCAGCATCTGCAACTGAGGATAGCCTTCTGCTGTACTCTTGCTCCCCAAATGATCAGTAAGATTTGTGTGCCAGTGAGAAGAACGTCAGGGCCCCATATTCAGCAGTGCATCTGCAGGCTTTTTGCATGGCAGTAGGTTTATCTTGAAATGACTCATTTCCCTATGCTATTCAGAAATGTCGGGGGGGGGGGGGGGGGGGGATTTTTAGTTCTGCAGAGTTCCCAGGAATCACTAATTATAGCAGTCATTTTGCATTGGATATTTTACTTCCATCTTAATAGATGTCTGGGGATGTTTCACAGGTTAGAGTAATTCAAAAAAAAATCATATTTCATCTGAAGAAAAGGGGAAGTGAATCTTCTGTATTGACCACTGTCAACTCATCATAGAGCCTCAAATCACAGCTGAACATAGTTTAATGAAGACTAAAGCCTATTAAATAAAAAAGGACTGTTTTCATATTTGTGTTAGCTGACTGGCCGAAGCTACTTGCAGTTCCAAACACGTGGGCCTAGAGCATCTTTTAAATGACACCTGGGAATCGTGTATAGATAGGAAGTACTAGACAGCACCCTACAAACTATGGGTGAATGACAATAGTTAAGGAAGCCTTTGGGGTCTATAGTCAGCTTGTAGAGCATTACATACAAGAACACCTGAAAGTAAAGATGACAGGAGAGGTGCAGAGTTAACCACAATGAAGAGGTGTGTTGGCTCAGCAGAGAAGCAACTGTATGGTGATGCATTTTTAGATCTGTGCATCTCTGCATGCTAAGTACTATTACCAGCAAATTTCCTTGCTTATTCTGATGGCCACTTGCACAATAATAGCATCTTAGATATCTTCATACACTGTGGGGAAAACAATTTGGTCCATTTAGAACATGTAGATCCAGTCTTGTCACTGCTTCTGGAGGCTTGTGCCCAAAGGCCTGCTCATTCATGCAAGGTAGCAATGCAGGAAAAAGGAATGTGCAAAGCCTGTAATTATTCTCACATGCATATTGCTTCCCAACATATTCTCCAGGGTCTTTCAGTTACACAGTTGTTTTCATTAAGCTCTCTTATTTAAGACAAAATACAGGGTAAACATTTTTGCCCTCCTGCAGTAACCAGCGCCTGCCTAGCCTATCCCCTTGGGACAGGAGCTTGTCAGCAGGATGGCTGTAGTTATTACCATAATACCGGAAATAAGTGTCATGAGGAAAATGCAAATGTATTTTGGTTTCCTTTTCTGTCCCACACTTTTTGCCCCAGTCACAGAGGAGGAATGAGAGCCTTGCTTTCACAGAAACATTCTTTTCACAGCCACGCATTCCTCAGGTTTTTGTATTCCACGTTGCAGGCTGGTAAAACCATTTTTTTCTATTTTCATATTTCCCTTGGATGTTTGAAATCCCAGCTCTGGCCTTTCTAGCTAACACATGAAAAGCAGAGGAGATGGCTGCTGCAGATGCCATAGGCTGCAAAACCTGCATCTCTCTTGATTTCTAAGAGAAAGAATCCAAACTGTGCTTACAGAAAGCTTCACATGATTCAAGCTAAACTCGCCGTTCTCTGAAGCCTCACTCAAGGTTTTGGGGTCTTCAGAACAGCTGCTTTGCTGCTTATGAACATTTTGCTGCAAGTCTGTAAACTGTTCAAGGTACTGGAGCAGGAAGGGGGAGAAAGGTGTAATCTGATACTAAATCCAAAGCCAAGTCCTAAAGCATGCACGTTGACCAGCTAAAGCCAGCAAGTTTTGGGTGCATGCAGGGATGTTTTGCATACTGTGTCCTGAAGGGAACCCAGAGCCCGCAAAGCAGCCCTGCGAGGAGCAGGGTCTCTGTCAAATTTCCAGACTGAGAGGAAAGGGGGGACTGGGTGAACACCTGATATGGGCAAAGTGGCAGAAGCAGCTTCAGGTCAGGCTTCACAAAAATCAACCCCTGAGTTTAAAACTAAGCTTTGAGCTTTTGTGTGTGTGTACAGATGAAGCATCCCTTTTCTTTCGTTCTTATTTCCTTTCTTCGAAAAATCTTTGTTCCCAAGCAGGTTACAGGCTGGGGCTAGGGATATGTTTTTTATTGTAACATTCTACTGAAGGTTTGCCAATTAGGTGCCAGCAGGGCCTGCAAGAAGACCAGCCTTGCGCTTTAGGAGCCGTGCCAGCAGGAAGCTTTTGTTATTCTGACATTAAGACGGCAAGTTTAAGCGCAGTATTTCGAAAATAAATCTAAATAGTGGTGAGTAACGGGCAGATCCACCACACGCTCGTCGGCTCCCTCGCGGTACCCACCCAACCATGACCCCCCGCCCCCGGCCAGAGCCTGTCGGGAGTTGGAGTCCCCGCCGCGGCTGGGAGGGCCGGGGAGGCTCCCGCTGGAACTACGACTCCCAAGATGCCGCGCGGCGGCGCGGGCCGCGGCCATTACAGCTCCCCCCTCCCCGGCTGAAGGGCCCCTCGTCCTCCGCCGCGCTACGGGGACGACGGCGGAGGCCGCGCGGGAGGGGGAGGGCGGCGGGGCCGGGCCGGACCGGGCCAGGCCGTACCGGGCCGGGCCGTGCCGTGCCGTGCCCGCTGTGCTGGCGGGGGCGGTGCTCCCGCCGGCGGCCGGGACTTCCTGTGACGGCCCATTTCCTGCGCGGATGGGGCCGGCGGGGGGCGGTTGCGGCGGGGTCGGCCCCTGACGGGCTCGGTGGCCGCCAGGCAGCGATGCGGGTCCCGGGCCCTGCCGGCAGGCGGCCCCCGCCGTGAGCCGCCCCGCGGGGAGCCGCTGGGCTGCGGCAGGCCGGCCGGCCGGCGCTGCGGGGTGCATGGGGGCGCCCCCCGCCCGCAGAGAGGTACCGCGGGGTAGGGGGGGGGCGGCCCTGGCAGCCGGGGGCGGCGGGGCACCGGGCCGGGCCGTGGGGATAACGCCCGTGTCCCGCCCCCCCCCCCCCACCCCCTGGTTTTGCAGGTGTGACTCCTCCGGAGGACGGCGCTCGGCCCCGCAAGGCCAGCGGCCCCGGAGCCCCGCGGCCGGGCTCCAGGAGCGGAAAATAAAAAAAATAAAATAAAAATCAGGAGGGGGCGCGGGACCCTGAGGAGAGCATCGCCCCCCTTCCCAGGCGGCTGCTGCCTCCCGAGAGATGAAGAAGTTTTTCGACTCGCGTCGGGAGCAGGGCGGCTCTGGCCCCGGGTCGGGCACCAGCGGCGGCGGCGGCGGCAGCGGAGGCCCAGGCAGCGGCTACATCGGCAGGGTGTTCAGCATCGGCCGCCACCAGGTGACGGTGGACGAGGTGCTGGCCGAAGGTAGGAGCCCGGTGCCCTCTGCAGAGCGCCCTGCCGCGCCTCTCGGCCCTCCCTCTCTGCCTCGCAGAGCCGGGAAGGCTTCGGCCTTTCCCGGCACCCCACCTCCCCCTGCGTCCTCGTCTCCCCTCGTATTTGATTGTCCTTGACAGGCGTGCGGGCCCGTGGCATCTGCAGCTGGCGTTTCTGGTCTTCCCATGCATAAGTCCTGTGTGCATTTGCTGGACTTCTAGTTGTTCGTTGTTTGTGGTTTTTTTTTTTTTTTTTTTTTTTTAATGCTTTAGGAACTGCAGAGACTTCAGGAGTTAATGGTTTCCCACCTTGAAACTGTGAGGCTTTTTTTTTTTTTTTCCCAAGTCTTTGGTGGAGAACAAGGTACAGTAAGTAAAGCAGTGGTCTTCCCTCTAACTTTCTTCAACCAAGCCCCTTCATTCCTACCTTAAGCAGATAGGAAAAATACCCTGGAGTAAATTCCTTGTATATATTTGGCAAGCGCATACGTTGAGTAGAGCTAGCTGTGATCTGGGATGAGGGATTGCTGTTCATGTGGGGTTTCTGTAGGGAAAATGGTAATCACAACTGCATTAAAAAAAAAATTACAGAACTAAAAACGAATAGTATGAATTATAAAACTCTTACGTGTACAGTCCTTGCTGTGCAACAAGCTGGTGGTATTATTAATACTTGTTTATTTGTAATCAGCACTACTGCTTTAACTGTCATTTTACATTTAATTTGTTTGGACTACAGGGAATCTTATTAATGTCTCTGGCTGGTAACCTTAGCCTCGACCTTCAGAAAAATGTTGGCCTCTGTAGACCTGCTCCTGGTCCATCTATTGTACAGCATCCTTTGCAATTTCAGTCAAAACCTGTTTTGTTTTGATCTTGTAATTGTGAAGGAGAGGGTAGCTGCTCTATGAGAGCTGAGTGGGAGGACCTGTGTTGGCTTTTACAGAAAGAACTCTAAAATGGAAAAGGAACTCAATGTATGCTGTATGTGTTCAGGTTTGTGAAAAAAGTCACCTCAGTGTAGAAGGAAATAGATCTGTAACTGTCTTTCAGATAGGTTTTGGTGCATGCTGAGCTGAGGGGAGCATCAAAAACAGCCCTTCAATGAATAATTACAGTGATTTTTTTTTTTCCCTGACTTGAAATTTGCAATATGGCTTTACCTTGGCTGATACTTGTAAGGCCTTAGGAGTTTAGGAGCTAGACAAGCTAAACCTGAGATGCTCTCAGTCTGTGTTTTTTTTTGTTGTTTTTTTTTTTAAATGCAGTCTGGCCTCATCCTGATAACATGGGAAAGCGGAGACTTTTTTTTTTTGCTGATGAATAATCAGTTGGCAGGTTCTGCCCGGGTGCTGATGGCACCAGGAGGTGTGTGTGTGTGTCACTGGGCTCTCTCCTGCCTGGCACGCCCAAGCCACAGCCAGCAGAGGTGCTGGGGGGGTGGCACAGATTGTGTGGGCAAAGGGCTGCGATGTGGATGTGCCGGCCCTCTGTGCCTGCGAGGGCTTCTTCCTGTGACTCCTGTGGACCTGCCTGGCCTGTGGGATAGAGCATGGCCTAGCGTTGACTACAGCGACTGGATCTGCTTGTGCACGCTGAACGAGGAGCAGCAGTCCTGTAAAGTGGATGTTAAGTTCTCCTTTCCTGACCATGCTATAAGGCAAAAGACTCTGTGAAATGTGCTGAGCAGTTATTTTCCTCACAGTGAGACTTCTGGTACAGGCAGTCCAAAATCCCTTTGAGTGGTGAATGAAGCCTCCAAGGAGACAAGAGCAAGGTGGCTAATAGGTTTGCAGGTTGTCACCTTTTGAAGGAAATGGAGGGGCAAGTTCCATTTCCTTCATAGGTTATCTCAGGACTCAACATGGGTTGTAAGTGCTGTAGCTTTACATACCGCTTGCCTTATGGTATAGCTGTCTGTGTTCCCCAAGTGCTTGTTAAAAAAGAGAAGGAAAAAATAACTTTCATTGACTCAGCTAGAGATCCGGGGATCTCTCACGCAACCAGGCCCCTGGACTGTTGAGGCCTGTATCCTTGGTTGGAAAACTGTTCTGTATGTGCAGTGAATTCTGGTGGTTCAGCAGGATTGAAAAGGCAACTTGTGAGGTCTTGGCTATTTCTGCTAAAAGGAAAAGTCTCTTGGGAAGCACTTCTGAGGAAGATTATCCTACCTGGGAAAGACACATCCTTCATCACTGGTGTTTTAGAAGGGAGAGGATGGGCCTGTGTTCTGGTGCAGTGTGTGAAGTATAGAGAGTAAATGAGATGTAGAAATGGATTAAAAGAAGGATTCTATGTTATAGGGATGGATGGTATGGGGGAGAGCAAGTAAGCTAATGAACTGGCTGAACCGGGACTTCTGGAATGAAAGTGTTGGTATTTACCTCGATATGCCAAAGCTGTGACCAGTCACCCTCAATTGTGCTGAGCAACCCTGCTGAAGAAGACTGCTCCCAGGCCCAGGATGGGCATCTTAATGCAGGCACTGTGATGTGTGCCAGATGACAGATGTCTCCATGTGTTCGTAGTCTCTTGCGTAGATTCCCCACAATATCCGATGCAGTTAGGTGCACCCACCCCACCCCTTAAAATAGTTGTGTCTGGATGCTTGCTTTCCTGGGTGGTGAGGAACAAGTCAAGGACCTTCCTTCTGGAAGGAACTGGATGAGAATGATATAAAAGGAACTTGAGCAATTGTTTGTCTGTTGTGTTATAATACTATCTATCTGTATAAACTCTCTTGCAGTGCATTGCAGTAGGTGATTCTTGGTTGAGTCTCTGTAGTTGTATTCCTTTAATCCACATAATAGTATGAATAATCTCTCGAAAAATTACTGCCAAAGTTTTTATGAGGATTAACTGCTGTGGGAGGTCAGTACTGCTGGCCTTGGAGATCTGCAAGGCCATGGTTAAAGGCGACAGACAACATAAGCATGGTGCTGCAGAGGAGCTGAAGGGGTTATTACTGATTTTAATGTGACTTGTGTTTCACCCAGCCCTGAGGTGAATGCCCAGGAGGCGTTTGAGGATGTGGGTGCATCAGGCTACTATCTTGCTGTTTTCTTTATGAAAAGAATCCAAAACAGTGTGATCATGTTGGTTTCTGCCTGTGTTTAAAAAAACAAAACAAAAAACAGCACACTGGAGCTAGGAGGAGGAGGGTGTCTGTGATGAGTGGGGACCAGGGCAGTGGAAACATTTAAAAGGATGTCAGAAATCAGGAATCTAGGAGTCTGTGGGATGTGCATGTGTGGCAGGAGTACCGTAAGCCATGTATGCTTATCTGAGCCTAAACAAGTGCAGTGGAGATTGAGTGTCCTGTTTTGGGGGTCTGTGTTTTTGCATTGCTTTGCATACCTGTAAGATTGTAGCAGAGTGCTGAATTGATCCAAGGTATGTAAGCATTGACAGATTTTTTTATTTATTTTTTTTTCAGATACTTGTGAGTGTGTGCTGTTAGCTAATGTATGTTTCAAAGCATTCAGCGGCGGATACTACAAACCAATGTAAAATAAACTTAAATTTGTCAACTGTATTTTTTACTTTGTTTTAAAGAAATTATGAAGGTTTCATTGTGGCGTGATTTAGCAGGTCTGGAGACCAAAGTGTACATGAAGAGCTTGGTAAGGCTGTGAATGCACGAGCTATGTCTGATGGGGGAAGGTGACCCCAGGAGCTGCCTATTTTGTGTGCTTGGGCTAACTGCAGAGGGCTTCTGCTGGCTGCTGCCTGCCTTACACCCAGTACACCCTTTCCCTGAACTTCTTGTGGTATGCATCATAACATAACATGAAGTCACTGACATCCTTTAAAATTACATGTGAGCTTCTTCTGAAATAACTTCAACTTTCAAACAAGCTCCATCCAAGAAAAAATTTGCAAATTTATGTGAGCCTCAACCCAATTCGTCTGTGGTTGGGTTCAAGGCATCACTTGCAAAGTGTGTTTTGTCGGTTACTGCTTTCTGTTTTCTGCCAAGTGCCAACTACTAGTCAGCTGACCACTGACATTTGGATTAGGAATTAACTATTCTATTCATATTACTCTCTTGGAATGGGATGCTTTGTTTTCCCTTGCTCTTCCTGTATACCTCATGAAGCAGGGCATATATGCTATGCTCTGCACTGGTAGATATGGTGTTGGTCCTGCTGTCTCCTAGTAATTTTTTTCTTTTGAGAGAGAGCAAGCCAGGCAAACTGATGAAGAATCCAAAGTGAGTTGCTGGGTAAATATCAAGGTATCCCAAGTGCTTTGGTGCTTTATCAGCACAGCTTTTGCTAGGGGCGGAGTGTGTGCTATGTCCTTAGCTTTAACCAGGAAGAAAAAGAAAGTGGGTGGATTTAACTGTGTAAAAAGTTGTACAGCCTAGAAACTTGCATTGTCTGTGTTCATTTCTAGGTTTTATGCAACACACCTGTGAAAGGGTCTGGGATTCTATACAGGGATGACTAGTGTCTTAGATAGCAGCTCTATTAGCTAAAATCATGTGTACTGGCTGTGTTAGACCAGCACAGCTATGGGAGTCAAGTTTCCTTCAGTCTTCTTCTCTGGAAGGTTTTCCATGGAAAAAAATGAGTTTCTAATTGAAGGTTTCCTGCAACAGCCTTATGAGACTGTCAAATAGGAGACAGCTTAGATTTGGGGTTCTGGTGGGGTGAAAATAAAAGCTTAAACTATGCAGCTGGGATCTTGCAGAAGAGTTCTGGTAGCTGTATCTGAAGAGGCTACTAACCTCTGCTTGCAACCCCAGCAGCAATAGTTTGGATCCAAGAAGAATAGGTACTCCCATAATGTTTTTATTGTGTACAGGCCTTCTTCCCTTTTGTCCTGGAGCCGTCGATAGTTGAAGAGAGCAGGTGGTAGGTTATAAATGTGCTGAAGGCAAGCTGGAATCCACTTTGGGTTTAGCACTTGCTGCCTTTCAAGCTCACACACCTGCATTAATCATCCCTAATAGGGGGCAGAACTGATTAGGTGCTGCACGCTTGTGTT